GGATCCGAAAGCTAGCTGCAGAATGCCTCCAATAGATGTTGAGCCTGGACGCACGTCCATGGATTGGCATGTATTGGCTCATGCAGATGGACGAATTCTGGGGCTAGCTGTATTCCAGCAAGCTCAGCTGCATCTGCTGCACCTGCGCCCGTGGCCAGAGACACTTAGACTTAGGCTTCTCATCAAGAATGGCTAGCGGCTAGCGGTGGCGAGACTTACTGGGATTGCTGCGCTGCCTACGAATTGGCCAGCGCGTACAAAGGGGTTGGAGGACGTTCGTGACTCCTGTGCCTTTCTTCACATAGAAAACTGTTTGTGCTTTCACGCATTGAATGTTGGTGTCCAAGGCAAGCTGTCACAGCAACGCAACGTTGAACAGCATTGAAAGATATATTTACATCCGGATGACGCAAAACACCCCTCCACGAACCCTTCCGAAGTCCAAAGCATCCTTAAATTTGATATCTTGCACCTGTCGGCTTCCGCAAGCCTTCAGCAAAACATTTTGCTTCTTCGAAATATGTCCTCATCATGGACTCTCGTGGTGATGCTTACTTTTGGTCAAGTTACTCCGCCCGCGCCGATCGACATACTAATTAGGAGACACTGACATTGAATGATCTTGTTGCTGGCTCTTGGCAGGCATGTGCATGAGACATGGGCACCGAACCTGTCGCTGCTTACTGGCATTTCACTCTAATTACGTGGGCTGTAGTTGTGAAGTAGTGATCATGCCTCTTTTACCGAGGAGCCGTGCTCCGCGCTCCGCGTTCTGTCTCAGCAGGAGCTTCTGCGAGCCTTCGGCAGAGCCAACCCCTTCTGCGGACCTTCCACATCCTTCCGCGACCAGAGTCCCGTGCAGAGTTTGGCGGTCAAGCTCAGATTTTGTGTCGCCGGCTACCTTTAAGTGGCAAGGCGGCAAAAACTCGCGTCACATGCACTGTACATGGTGGAACAAAGGTAAAGCTGATGTCTTTGTCGCATGACCCGCGCAACGCAGCATGCCCTTCAGAAGTTTCCTTCGGATGAGGCCCCCTGCCTGCGTCTGGACAGAACTGAGGAAGAAGATTATCAGCTCCAGAGTTGAAAATGCATCTGTCTCCTGCAGCATCGTCAACAATTCAAACTGAACGGATATACAGTTCGTGCCTAGAATTCTCCCACACAGTCGAGCCCGTGCCATCTGCACGCCCAGTAGCGGGCAAGTCGGATCTCCGCGAGGAGGCTGCCTTTCAGCTTGATTCCCACTCGCATTCGAGGCGTGGCATCTTGGAATTTGTGCAAGCTCGAATAACTGATTTCCGACCTACAGCTGAAATAATCGGGGGTTCAGCGCTAAGAGCGACGTGAGAGATCAGGGCAGTCACTAATTGTCGTCCACATGTGCGTGAGAAACTTGCGTGCAAACAGCAACGAAGGCCCACGCAACAGCCCGAACAAGCTTTTCATGTGACCACCCGTACTCCTAGTTCCATGCTGTCATGCAAACGTGCATCCAGTGCCCACCCATGTCTGCGGCCATGAGCATGGCCAGACTGCCGTCTGTCCTCCTACCAGTACTTGTACTCGCAAACGCGCAGCCGCAAACGAACCCAATGCACACCCATACCCTGACACTGACACGCCCTCATGTTACAATGAAATCACCTCGAAAGAGTGGACGGGGAGCTTCCTACTTTCAAGCAAAGGCTGTATTTCTAGCAGTCATAGCGACTGCTTGCCCCCGATTGATCTACATAGGCTCGCATCATGAAATGCCACATGCCCCACAAAAACAGTCGAAATGAAAGAATGCCTCTCGAAGCTTGTCGAACATCAGGAGGAGTCGGAGTGCCGAGGCATCAGCTGCTCCTTCTTTGGCACCACCTAGCTTTGCGAGTGAGCTTCATGGCTCTCCGAAGGCCTGGACTTAGAACACTTAGATTTCAGGCACATGGCCGCGATGTGGTGACAGCCACGTCTTGAACGTAGGGATAATTGTTTTTGTCGAGGCCTTGAGAGTCTCGCCCTGGGTTTGCGGTCTGGCCAGAGCTTTTGAAATCCCAGGCTCACATGAGTGACCTTGAGCACCAGCCAGTCTGACCCTCAAGTCCTCATTTCTCGCATGCCAACGTGGTAGATGATCCCAATCTGTTTCCACTCCGAGCACACATAGCTCTCAAATCGGCAAAGCAAACTAAACTAAACTCCTCGGAAAACATCTCAAACAGTCCCCGGCCAAGCACCAGCTTGGCATGAAGAAAGGGCACAAATATGCGCAAATGAGTCCAGTAAGCAAAGCATACGAAGCTGAGTGTAGAGATATGTTAGCACAGCATGGCCTCGCTCCATGGCAGTCACAGGCGGTATCGAAAGACCAGGCGCCGGACTTGCCGCCTGGGTCTTCAGGGTTCGAGCCTGGGGCCTGGAGCCCCAACCACCATGCAAAGACTACCAGTACCAAAAGAATTCATCAGGGCGCGTAAAGAACCAACACATTGCTAGGAGGATGCTTGCCACTTGACCTGCCTGCACCTTGGTCCAAAAGTCAGGCTTGCTGGCCTGCCTCCTCCTCAAGGTTTTCGCTGCGGATCTTGCGCGCCAGGGTAATGAGGGCCCGCTTCCGCTGCACCACGGTCTGCATGGGCCTTGAAGGGAATGGAAGTTTCTCAAGAAGGGGGCCCCTGGAAAGGGGATAATAGGCGTCCCTATTACAGATTATAAGTAGCTGTATTATAGGTATTATAGAGGAGAGAAACTGCCATATCCTGCTTGCACTCGCAAGACTCAAGCTTCCCAATCTTGTGACAACTTGTGAGTAACCCGCAAGGACATCACTGGAAGCCCATCCCGCTTTGCCACCAATTGCGATGGTGAAGTAGCCACATCTGTCAGCACCTCACAATGGCCCACCAGGTCAGATTGTCACAACCAGTCCCGGCGACTTCATTCAAAATCTGGACATGTGGACATGCTACTCCACGTCCACGCACTTGAACTTCTGAAGCCGAAACCCTCGCTTGTGCAGCGAGCACTCTGGCCTGCCGTACATTCTGCTGCATTGCCAGGCTCGGGTTTGAGGTAGTTCGCCGAAGACGGAGCCCCGTGTCCTCCTGAAAAAGGTTCCGATCGAGTCTGAAAGCTTTAGCTTGCACAAGCCAAATCCGTGCTGGAGTTGGCAAGGAACTCAGGCCATCAGGTGCCACGGCCATCCCCTGTCCAAATGAGTGTTCAACGCTTCAAAGCCATTGCACCTGAGGATTCAGCTAGCTAGATTAGGATTTCACTGCCAATCCCACATACCAAGATCCTCAGCTGAAACCTTGAATCCTTTCTGGGCAGCTCCCGGGATCCCTGTAGCAGCCTCTATATAACCCTTAATGATGCAAAAACTCTCCAAAGTAATGCCGGGCCTTTACAGGGCTTGGTGACGGGTCGATGGCCGCAGGGACCAGCGGCACTGGTGTAATCTCCTTCTCCGCTGCGCCTTTCAGTGGCCAAATGTACTTCTCGCAAAGCCCCGGCCAAGCAGGTTGTCAAAGCTCACAGAACCAGGACCTAGACCTAGCCCAAACTGCCAAGACTGTGTCCACGCAAACGTAAAAAGCAAAACTAACCGGAACTATGCTGTGGGAGGGTGTGATCATCGGGTCCTGTGGCCGCAACACATTGACATGGAGAATCCACACAATCGGTGCGCACAAGTGGCCTTGTGCAGCCGCTTGCTTCCAGGCTGCACGCCACGGCGAACGAGCGATGCGGCAGAAGGCGCGGCTGACAGGCCTTGTTTTTGCAGCTCTAGAGTTTCAGCCTAGGACGCGAATGGTTACGGATGGTTACGGCATCTGTTGCAGCTGCTTGACTTTTTCTCCACCTTCACAGTGGGGCCGTCAGATTTTGAGAAGTCTACGTTCTGCTCGCCCTCCGTGCAGTGCCCAAACGCAGAATATCCAGCCGCCGAATATCCCCGGCGTGGCCTAACCGCAGCATGTCCCTGCAGTGCCCATCCCCCCTGCTAAACCGTTGAGTATCTCTGCTGTGCTCAACTACAGAGTATCTGCAGGCCCAACCGCAGAGTTCCCTGCTCAGAGTATCCCTGCCCTGCCCTGGTGCGCCAATCGCCCGCTGCAATGAAAAGTCCACAAACCACCCCACCACTCCAACTGTAGTGCTTGGAATGTACGGTTGTTCTGTCTGCAGGCTGCCGCAACGTTTCAAATTACATGCTGATACATGCTCCATATTGTTGTCGGAAGTAGTTGATGATGCCAGCAAACTACACAATGTAGAGGTGAGGATGTTTGAAGTAGAGAATTTCTCTCAGCAGCTTTGGCTGGAGGATTTCGGTTGGAAGGACATGAGCTGCTCAGCTCACAGAAAGAAGAAGGCGATGCTGCTTTCAAGACTGGATGCAAACTTGATTTGAGGGCTTGGTCTGCCTAGTTTGTGGAAACTGGTGATGCCTGGGAATGAATCATCGTTCAAGGTGTTGCCAAATGTTGCTCTGGCTGGAATTAGGTTAAGACAAAGCCGAATCAAATCAATCGCAATCCACGACAAAACACGACTTCCTGACGAATTGACTGACTAGTTCGGAAAACTCAGCTTGAATGAGCAAGAGGTGGTCCTCGTTGCTCCTTCCGTTTTCAAGCTTGCTGCAACCTACCTCCTAGAACCTGACATAACCCTTGTTGAAATATCTGGGATGGACCGCTACATCAGGCAGAGTGCGTGTCGAAGAAGATCGAAGAAGGTTGAATCAACAGGAACTGACGTCCTGCCTCCTCCGTGCCCTATACAAGCGCCTGGAATGCATGGCATGGAACGTGCGACGCGGGTTGAATTTGAGATGGGACGTCAGAAAGAGCTGGCAGCTGGAACCCTCGTCCCCTGAAGCCTATCAGAAATCAACGTTCCACACTGACTCTACTGCCCACAACACAAAACTCTTTTTCGTAGGAGGCCTGACCTGGCAGCCATCCACCCCAGAAGCTCCTGAGACTCAGAACCCCAAACTTGGCTCAAGGCCTGGTGTAGAGCTTCTTGCGGAGAAGGTCCTGTGCTGCAGGAGTGTGAAGGGGGTTGGGGCAGCCCTGTGATGTACTAGCAAGCACGGTGGCTGGGAACATTGTATTTTGGGCAAGATTGCACCTGTACGCTGGGTCGTTTCATCCATGGGTAGCGGGGTGGATTATGTAAACAGCAAACTTCGATGAACTCGCGCCTTGACAGCCTCAGCCTCTTCGTCGTTCTTGTTATAGATGCCTGCCACGATGACCCGCATGTTGGAGAGCATCAGCTGAATCTCCTTCTGCGCAGGGATATGAGACCTCACTGCAAGCCGTCTCATAACTACAACCTGTGGATTGTAATATGGGAAGTCCGAGAAGTTCAGATCTAAATGAGATTTGAAGAGTTACATCAAGACAGAGCAATACTGTCGGAGCAATACTATAGCATTGCTAGTTGGCTGTATAAATAACAGCCTGGGACCAGCCCTCACAAGGCTTTGCATGGTGTTCATCGCCTTGTCAGCTCTACTGTATGTCCCTGGACGTGGCACCGGCTGGCTCAAGAATCCCACAGCTTGTCAATAATTTTGTGCCTTGGATCCAGCTGTCCAACAGTGCCCGCATTTGGGGATGCGCGTGCCAGCTCAGCACAATGATAAATGCAAAGCCTGCATTTCAAATTGCTGGGCTCTGACTGCCAAATTTCAGAGCTAAGTTTGTCCTGCCAGCTGATTCACACCCGCAGTGGTTCTTGGGGTAGCATTCTCGGTAGTTCTGGGCTAGCTTTTTGATCTCTTGCATTTTCCTTCGGTGTCCTCCGCAAGCGTTGCCAGGATGGGCCGAAATTGATCACCACGCAGGACCGGCTCCGCCTGGGAAGGGCTACCATCGCGGCTCCACATGCTCCCGCGAGGGTCTGCCTCTAGCCCAAGAAGTCTGTTTTGGACGCTGCCTTGACCACCTTGTCCGGCTTGCCTTTGAAGATCCTGGAACCTGCCTGGCAGATCTGCATGGCTTTTTGAATAAGGGTACGGGTCAGCAAGCTTTCAGATTTGCAGCTGAAATTGCTTTCCCACTCGCTGCTTTCTGCTACACAGCCCTGGCGTGAACAGCAGAATGAACGTGCTGCTATGGCAAATGCTTTACGCACGCAGATCTTCCTTCATGAGAAAGAGAGCCCAAAAAAGATCTGCATATGACCTTATCTGACCCTGCAAAACAAACCCACCCTACATGGTTTCTGAGGCTCGCAAGTAGAGTCCGCAGAATCATTACGATCGACAGCCTTCAAGGTGGTGCGCTTCTGGGGCTTCTCGAGGATCCTGGGTGCAATGCGAGCTTCACACGTCAGACACGGCAGAGGCATGTTTAAGGGTTTTCGGAATTACGTTTCTAAAGTTTGGGATCTAGGGCATCTTAATGGTCAGCAACAGCAAATTGGCCCTGTGCCTGAACTTCATGGGTAAGGATGGCATTTGTGGGTATGAAGAGAACCGTGAGGACCCTAATGTTTGGAAACTTGACTGGCATCATGCACCTCACGCTTGGATAAAGGAGTTGCGATAAGCAGGAGGCCCAATGCAGACTCAAGTATACTTTCATCCTTGTTTTTCAGACTAGCTACCCGAAATCAGTGGCCTTTTAGCTGTTGCCGTTTGCGGCACCTATCATTCTTCACGTTGCAGTTTCCGCGGGCAGTCGATGTTGATAGGTACCGAAAACTTAAGGCTCTAGGCCAATTTGTTGCCAACCACCACCTGAGTTCCGCATAGTTCCCCTGCACTTTGCCCTCCAAACAAAACATGCAAGACCAAGCAATTTGAGCGGTGGCTTTTATTCTATCTAAGTTCTATTACAGAAACTACGCCTTCCGCGGAGGCCTTCCGCGTACCTTCCGCGAGCAGCACTTGTAGTCTTTCTTGCTTCCGCCTTCCGCGGCTGCTTCCGCGATGGTTTTTCGGCTGGATTTCGGGATTTGCTTCCGCGAAAGGTCTTCGAAGACTATCGCAAAGGTTCCTGCGCATGCTCTTTTCGGTTGACTCCTTTGTCTAGGGTAGGTATAG